AGGGGCTGGCCCCCCGGGCGCCTCGGGCTGCCCCGAAAACCCGCGGCCACCGGACAGGTTGTATCCGATCACAGCGGCCCCTGGGACGTGGGCTGGGCCCTGGGGCTACGGCAGGGAGCAGTCCCCCCGTGTCTCCAGCTCTCCAGGAGCCCCTTGCCACGCCATGGAAGCAGGTGGATGATACCAAAGGAGGGAAACAACATTGCTCCCTAAGCGGGAGTCTCCGTCTCCCCGTGCCACTGCTCTCCTTTCCCCAGCTGCTAATTCTCAAGGTTGAAAACTTTCCATGGAAAATCACACTTTTGACACAAGTTTTTCACCCAAGACACCAGCTTTCTTTCAAACTGGCCTTCCTGGAGTTTGGCGAAAGTATTTGGGAGTTTATTTTCAGTAAATAATTGAAGCGCTGAGGCAAAAACTCTCAAGGAGAATCACCTGGTGGGGCAGCACGTCGCAAGAGTGAATATGTCTCAGCGCTCTTAAAGCTCTCCGTCGGCTCCTGGTCGGGTCAGACCCTGCCACCCATCGCCCTCTTGGCCAGGGTGATCCTGCTCTGTCCCCTGGAGATCCCGCTGTGTGTCCTGCCGCACCAGTGCCACTTTTCAGTGGCGTTTGTGCCAGCGCAGTGTCCTGGCAGGGACACCCGCCGTGCGCAGCCTGGCTCAGCTGGCACAAAGCTGCTTTGTGGCGCCCTCGGCCTGGGGAATGTCCCAGGCTCGGCCCACGTGCGGGAGTGCGGACACCTACGGACCTGTGCGTCCCGGGAGCAGCTCACCTGCCGCTGGTGTTTCCAGGATGGGACACAGGCACCTCTCCATCCTTGGGCATCTCCCGTGGTGCTCACTCCTCCCTCCACCACTTGGTCCTCCACAAGCCCAGGGAGATGCCACCATGGTGCACAACAGGGATGCAGCAGCATCCCGAGGAGCACAGTTACCACCAGAGCTGTGTTTTGGAAAGGCAGCGATGAGGTGAGGGCAGAGCAGCAGGCAGAAATGGGGCCAGCTTTGCGGTGGGAGTTAACATTAGCCCTGGCCTGTTGGCATCAAGGGGGTGGTGGCAGCTTGGTGGCTCCCTGCTTTGCATGCGGCCAGGACGCCGAACGGGGAAGGATTTGCCCATCATCCCACAGCTGGAGCTGGGTGGCTCCGTGCCCTGGGTGACCATCTGTCATCAGGGTGGTAAATCCCCTCCAGGGAAGCCAAATATCCCCATTTCTCCAAGCGTTTTGGCAGGATACATCCCTCCACAGCCAGGGCACTGGAGCTACAGCACGGCTGCCCAGGGAGCCCACCTCCGGCGGGGCTTTCCCCTGCACCCAGGCAGAACCCCTCTCAGTCTCAGCAAAAGCCACTGAATTGCTGAGACTTTCTCAAAGCAGCATTTTCACCCAAAATGGAGCTGGAGCAGAGTCTCTTGGGAGTCTGCTTGGTCACAGCTAGCAGTGTCGCTGGTGGGGTAGGACCAGAGAGCTGGGGGGTGCTGGAGGACTGCCAGAGGTAGGCTGTGACCCTGGACGCCCCCTTTGCCCCCGTAGCTGGGAGGCGCTGGG